ACAAGATTAATTTGATATATTACATATGTAAAACTGATAAAAAATACAAAAGTTATTAACTTTTAAAATATATATACAATTCAATAGTTATAATAAGAAATGATATTAAAATACAATTAATACATGTAACATGACCATAAATAATCAACATATTTATGGTAATCCGAACCTAATTATTTTTGGTTTGGAAATAAATTAAAATTTACCCAAGTCTAATAACAAAGCATGTAATTTTGCCACATATGATTCCGAAGCACAAGAAGTAGCAACGTACGCTCAGCGCGTTTTGTATTAATATATAGGGGGATTTAACAAAAAAAAGGTGACCTACTCTCTTTATTACTCTGTTGCAAATGGAAAGACAAGTTTGCAGGTTTACTACAATTAGTTACAATTATTTGCCTCTGCCCTCTTTCACCAATGGAGATCTCACTCCGTCCTCCTCAATCACCCATGGAGATTAGATTACACACAGGTCGCTCCTTTCCCAAGATTACACACAGAGTGCAAATGAACGACGAGTTTCTCAAATCGAAATCCTGATCAAGGGGCCCCCAAGCTCTGCGTGCTCGACGGTGCTCCCGTCTGGCCCAGTACGTGTGTTGTCGATTGCACCTCAACAATTCTCAGCCTATCTGTTCACTGCCAGTTTACAACCATCCTACACCACCAACATCGCCTCCGGTGGTTTACAGCCCACCACCACTGGCAAACTCGACGCCTCCTGCGGCGCAGGGGAGCCACCGTGATCCCATCTAGAAAACTTGCGATTTGAGCTGGCCGAACCGAGTCCAAAGAGGCCTCTCTCAGCTTTAGGGCACCCAATTTTGAGGTATGTCTGAAGAAAAAGATTGTTCGTTCTTCTTTGCAGTCTTCAACCTAACCCGTGGGATTCTACTCTCCCCTCAAATTCATGTGTATTCTATGCAGTTCTTTCTTCCTTTTTATCCCAACAAGTTTACCCCAATTTTTCTACCTTCTTCTTTCAATCGATGGTGGTTGATGGATTTACGATGGTCACATGTATTCAGAAGTAAAATATCCTCAATTAATGGCGTTGCTGCGAAATCCCTAATCCAGTCCCTCTTTCTTCTAGATCAGAAGCCATCACGGGACCCGTCGCCGACCCCGAGTACATCTCCGCCATCCCCAAGGCTATGCAACCAACCCTCGATCAAGCTGTGTTGGAGAAGGCCGACGCGGAGAGGATGATGAAGGCGAGGATTTTCGATCTGGGCGACTTCCCAACAGGCCGCCTGAGCGGCGATTGATCTGTGCGAAGGTGGAGATGTCAAGGAGGAAGCTCAATTGGGTATGACAACACCGAATAGTTTTTTTTTATTTTATTTATTTTTTTCTTGTAATTATGATTTGGGTCTTTCATTCAGTGATTGTTAGGGTTGTCTGGGGTTCAATATATACTAATTTTGTTTCTTGCACTATTTGAAAGAGAAGGAAGATCCTATGATGCAGCAATATAGTGATGGACACAGACCACATGCTTGCCAACGGGAGAATGGACGTTCCAGTAAGCCTATGCTTTGCGACTGCATGTGCGGATGACCTTTTGTTGCACTATCTGCTGAGATGAGACGGGATCTGGAGAACTATAAGTCTATAACCTCATCAGTGAAAAGGTAGACCAATTTAAAATCTTAGCCCTTATGCATTGTAACGATTAATTTGAAATGGTGATTCAATTCAGATAAAGGGATTTTTTTTTTTCAACTTTCGAAATAGATGGACTGTATTTATTGTCAAGACAACTATTTCGAAACACCAAATATTATCATACTACATCATATAGCCCGAATAAAAATGTTGCGTTTTCTTGATTGACCACTTCTGCATGAGCAGATTTTAGAGATATTTTTTGCCTTTGGATTTTTCCACATATTGCAGAATGTAAGGAATAAATTCTTGAAGCTTCACCGTGTTCGATTACCGCCAATGATACCTCCAATGATACGGTTGAAACCATTTGCATTCCTTGAGAAAAACAGAAAAGGAAAACATGACCTATGATTCACATTGTAATGTCCGCTTATTTTCCAAAAGAAAATACTCGGTTTCCAGATCAACTTAAATTTTTAAAAAATATTTTCGAAATAATACTGTCTTGGACGTTACTCAAAATCTCTTTCTTATTAACAACCCGAGTAAAAATAACTTTTTTTCACAAAGTATTGAATGCACAAAGGAAAAACTCAAGACACAGTTGGAAACTTTATTGCGGAAGCAAAACCATTTCTAAATAAATCTTTGACCACCCTCGTCTCCTCGTGAACCTTTTTTCGAGCCTTTTTTGAGAGTTCCGAGTTCAACTAAATTTTAAGAAAGTACTTGGTCAATAAAGTGAGTTTTTATTTTAAAAGTTGTATTGATAAAATTGAGAGAAATGTAATAAGTGAATAATATGCTTTTTAGGCGGGTTGACACGTCATACTTATGTCATTAGGCCTGACTAACAGAAGCCTTAATGTATAATGTATACTGTTTCTTATAGTTAAATTTCTACTTGCATTGTCAAGTGGAGAATGGACAAAATACACAAGCCCTTTAGTTGTATACTCCTCATCCATTATAAATGCCCAAGGCTTAGCTTCATCATATAATTATTGATTTTTTATTTATTTATTTATTAATATACAACAGCCTTTGCAGTTAACAGTTGCAGAGTATTCAGGATTTCAACATGTGAATCTTTCCACTCCACCAGACAGACATGAGACATCTTTGCAACTGCTCACTACAAAGGCTGTTGTATACTTGGTGTGAAAATTTTGGAAGTTTTTTTTTTTTTTTTTTTAAATCTAGATCAGTTATCCATTCTGACCTGGCAAATTATTTTTTTTTATGTCGGATTCGCCACCTTAGTATCTCTCTTCTAAATAACTTGTCTATGTTTTGGCTTGTCATATAGGACAGGTTAACATGAATAAGGAAGATATCAATGTCAAATGAACATGTTTCTTCTAGAGATCCATGCGTGGTATGTTTTGTCAGTATAGTTCATTTCTTCTAGAGATCCATTTGTAGTATTTTTGTCAGTATACATATATTTTCAATGTTGTTACTTGCTCTTTTTTCCTGCACACCCTTGCATTTTAGATTTTTTTTTTCAGGCTACAAGAGCATGGTGGTGAGACTGTAATTCCTTTCAACTGTGCCTTGGAGAGGTACACACCCTTGCATTTTAGATTTTTTTTTCAGGCTACAAGAGCATGGCGGTGAGACTGTAATTTCTTTCAACTGTGCCTTGAAGAGGTATCTTGCTGATATATCCCCGATTGAGCTGCTAAATACTGTGAGAATAAACATATGAATCATATATTAAATTATTTTATAACAAGTTAAATAAACATATGAATCATATATTAAATTATTATAAATTATAAAATAAAAAATATAATAATACTATTTAAAACTATTTTTATTCTTTAATACATGCAATTTATATTTATTGTTCTGTGCGTAGCACGGGTTGCGTATTAGTTGTAAAGTAGAAGCTACATACAATTTACTTACGTAATGAAAGAAAAAACCTGTATCATCAACCATCATTAAGCATAATCATTCACTTACGTAAAACATAAAAGACTCCATCGACTGCACGGGTATGAGACAAGAAATTGTTTCACATCCCTCGTCCTTCGTGCGCGCATCGCACAAGTCCCGAAAGATCAATTATATTGAGAAATACTGACACCTATTATAAAAATTGTTCAATGGTATACGAGATAGGAGAAACCAAAAGAAGCCATAAAATCTTGATAAATTTGATAAAAAAAATGGTTACAGTATTGTGTTACAACGATCACAAAGAAAAGAGAAAAGACAGTATTTATATGAAGAAGAAGACAACCATATGAAATGACTAAAACACCCTTACAACCTCACCCTTACAACCTCACGGTCAATACGACTAACTGTAAGACATAACAAAACAAATATACCTACTGTTAATGTCACACCCAATTGCCTTGAGTCTTTCTATCTCACCACTGGGTTTTAACTTCACCTTATAAACCCTTTACAACATATGACTTGTTTCCATGTAGGTAACTCAATTAATGTGCATATGTTATTTTTTTCTAGAGCCATCAATTCTTGATTCATAGCTTCTACCCAATCTTCTTGAGTATAAGACTTAGGTTATTGAATATGAGACACATTAGCCAGAAAAGACATATAGCAAAGACTTAAGGCAGGTGAAATGTGATAAAGGAAAAGTATAAAGAAGAAGCTGGTAATAGACAAGGTCAACTGCAGCATGTGAAGACAGTGGTGTACTGGTAGTAGATAGTACATAATCAAAATGCCAAGAAGGTTTCTTTTTTGGTCTAGTGCTTTGTCAGGTATAGGGGTGAGCATGGTGCGGTTCGGTCAAAAAACCGAACCGCACCGCAAAAAACCGAAAACCGAATTTTTGAAATTTCTGGACCGCACCGCACCGCAAGAGAAAAAAAAACCGAACCAAACCGAACCGAAATATTCGGTTCGGTTCGGTGCGGTTTTTCGGTTAACCGCAAATATAAANNNNAAAAACATACAAACAACATCACATTATCATTATGCCATTACAAAATCCAAATTAAACAACCACATAAGTCCTAACATTCATTTTGATAAATAAAAATATCCCATGGGCCATGGCACCACAACACAACATTAATAAAAAAAAAAAAAAAAACATCCATGTCCATAAATGAAAGTCCTGGCAGTGGCAGAATTGCCATCTTAATTCAAAACACAGCAACATTGTGACAAAACAAAAGCAGCACAGCTACAGAGAGCAATATTTGACAAAAGCAGCATGGTAGTAGCACTCCAACAGCAGCAACATTCAAACAGCAGCAGCAGAACAGCCCCTATTTCACAGTAATCATAAAAAAACCATTGAAAAACAACCGATCAGCAGCGAATTTATACAAGAAATTAGACAAAAAATATACAGAGTTTATAAAACGGAACAAAACAATTGGGAACACCTTGCATTTCTATTCCTCCAAGTCCATTATGTCGTCATTGTCGTTGACATCGCTAATCCCAACACCTTGCAAAGCTATTATCATAGAAAATAAATTTAAAAAATTAATCAACATTTACAAGTGATATAATACAATTAATGTGAAATTAGAACACAATACATTAGAGTACCTTCTTCTATTTTTGCAATATCTTCTAGGCTCTCTTCAAGGGGCTTGGTCCACTTGGATTTCTTTTTTTTCAACCAATCTTGAGCACATATAAGAGCCTCCACAATTTTAGGAGTTAAAGAACTCCTATAATCATCAAGAACACGACCGCCGGTGCTAAAAGCGGACTCCGAGGCCACGGTAGAGATGGGAATCGCCAACACATCCCGTGCAAAACAAGAGAGGATGGGAAATCTACTTTGGTTGAGTTTCCACCACCTTAAAATGTCAAAATCATCTTTCTCGACAACAAGAGTACTCTCTTTCAAGTAAACATCCAAGTCACACTTGCTTTCTACTTCTCCACTCTCTATCTTGTGCCTTTTGAACTTATCCCCCAAGTGATATCTAGATTTATTCTTTGAAAGATTGGGATGAGAGGATTCATTTAAACTTGAAACTCGATTCGTCGATTGTGTGGACGTGGCACAATGAGGTTGATAAATCAACTTATAAGCTTCAAACAACTCGTGAACACTCCCCTTCACACTCTTGAAGATCTCCGAACCGTTCTTTTCTCCATGCTCTTCGCAAAGTGCATACTCAAGGAACTCCAACTTGTAGCGAGGATCAACAAAAACCGCCACATAAATAAGATGATTCACATTTTTCGGATCCCCCCAATATTTATTGTATTTTGATTTCATTTTTTCACCCATTGCTTTGATATCAAGATCATTGCTAGCAATCCATTCTCTTAACAAGCAATTCACCGAGCTAATTTCATGATAAAATTCATTTGAAGTGACATAAGATGTGCCCGAAATCCTCAACGTTAGCTCGTAGAAGTGGGATAAAATATCAACCATCCTTCTAGCATTTTCCCAATCAACAATTGATGGTGGTCCATGCTTGAGCTCTAGTCTAAAGAAAGGATCTTTCATTTCATACCTATCAAATGCCCTCTCAAACTTTTGTGCAACATTCAACATCAAGTATGTTGAGTTCCACCTAGTGCTCACATCTAAGCATAACAAGCTTTTACTCACAATACCTTCATCATTACAACACTCCCGAAATTTCACCAATCTAGCCGGAGATTGTTTCACAAATCGAACCGCATGACGAATATTCTTAATGGAATGCTTGATTTCATTTATCCCATCCACCACTACCAAATTGATAATGTGAGCAATGCACCTCATATGAAGAAACTTTCCTTTCACAAAAGCACAACCCCGAGAAGTCAATCTACTTTTCAAATATGTAAGACAAGTATCATTAGAAGGCGCATTATCAACCGTAATAGAAAACACCTTTGAGATTCCCCAATCCCGCAAACAACCATCTATTTGTCTTCCTAAATCCTCACCCTTGTGACTCTCAATGGGACAAAAGTTGATGATCTTTTTATTTAAGCTCCATTCTTCATCGATGTAGTGCGCAGTGATACACATATAATTAATCTTTTGCACGGAAGTCCAAGTATCTGTGGTAATAGAAATTGTTTTTCCATACATTTTGAAGTAATTTCTTAATTTTAACTTCTCATCTAGGTATAATTGATAACAATCTCGTGACACAGTCCAACGAGAGGGTATTTTAAACCTAGGCTGCGTAACCGACATGAAATTTTTGAATCCATCACCTTCCACAAACCGAAATGGAAGCTCATCAACAATGACCATTCTTGCTAGTTCTGACCTAATGGCTTCCTGATCAAATTTCCAACTAGTTAAACTTCCTACAATTTCATCACCCTCAGCTATTGGTTGCAAATTCAATTTCGCTTGTTTTTTCTCGGTCACATCTGGATTAGCTTTACAAACCGATATATGGTGAAGAAGTGAAGACGTACCATTCCTTCGAGTATCACACTTATATGTTTTCTTGCAATGTTTGCATTCAGCCCTGGTAATACCTTCGACCACAATAGTTTCGAAGTGATCCCAAGCTATCGACCTTCTCGTATTATTACCGGCCCCTGCAATCCCGGTACCTGCAGTAGCATCAACTGCAGCACTTGAATGCCCCGGATGGCTCCTCTTTAATTTTGATGTCTGACTTGCAGCCGATCCGTCATCCATGGATGGTAGACCTCCTGTTGGTGAATCATCCGCCATCACCTCAGCCTCAGGTCCTCAATAACAAAGTTCTAACAAAAAACAAACAACAATAAGAACAATATCATACATATAAGAGGAATTTGATAGATAGTTTATAAAGGAACTAAAATGAAGCTTTATAGCTCTTTCTGGCTGATAGATAGTTCTCTCCGCTCTTTCCCTAATTTGAAAAAGACTTAAGTTTTTTTAGTTAACAAGGGGGACTCAATCCGCCTCCCAAGACTACTTAATCCCTGCTATTAGTTTTTTTGGGAAAGAAAGACTCATATTCCAATCTTTTTGAAGAAAAACTGAAGGACTGAACACTGAAGAACCGCAATGATAGAAGGAAAAAAAAACACTTTTTGATTCTCATGCCTCTACAAAAAGTGAACAAAGAGACCGAATTGAAATGAGAGAAGGAAAAAAAAATCGAGAGTGAGACCTAAACCGACGAAGCCAGTGGAGAGATTGAGAGCGATGTCGAGAGACGAGAGCAGGGGTTGAGAGACGAGAGCGGCGGAGCTTGAGAGAACGCCAAGTGAGTGAGCGGCGGTCCGCGGAGCTTGAGAGGCGAGAGCGGCGGAGCTCTCAAGAAATGAGAATGGTTTGAGAAGAGAAAGAATTAGGGTTGATTTTAATTTTTAACTTTTAAGTTTTAGATTTTAAATGTAAAAGTAAAAGATTAAAAGTGCTGCACCTGCTTGTATTTTATATGTAAAAGTGTAAAAGTAAATAACACTTTAATGACTTTATCATATGCGGTGCGGTTCGGTTAAAACCGCACCTTTCGGACATAAAACCGAACCGCACCGAAATTTTTGCGGTTTTTCAAAATCCAAACCGCACCGTTAACCGAACTCTTAAAAAACCGCACCGAACCGCACCGAACCGCTCGGTTCGGTTCGGTTTTTCGGTTTCGGCTCGGTTTTGCTCACCCCTAGTCAGGTAGATGTTTCTATAGAAGAAGGATCATGTATTGTTTGTTCTAGTGAAATTTGATAAGATGGTTGTGGATCAGTTATAGGTATAGCTGAGAGTAGAGTTGATGACATGGGACTGCGTATGGTGTCTTGGTAAGGGAATGTGCGTTCAATAAATTGTGCATCTCTAGAGCAAAATATCTGATGAGTCTCTAGATTGTACAACCTGTAACCTTTCTTACCAGCTACATAACAAAAAAAATACAAGTACGTGTTGTGGTTGTGAATTTTGTTTTCTGAGGTCAATATTAGTGGCTGATGTCAAACAACCAAAGGACTTCAGTGCACAGTCAGGAGAATATGCTTATATAGAATGTCAATTGACGTTTTTCAATCAATGGCTGAAGAAGAAGGTAATGTGTTAACAAGTGGCATGAAGGATTGAATATGGCCAAAATTTTGAAGGTAAGTTGGCTTGAAACATACAAGCTCTGGCAAGGTTTAACTATTGTCTATGTTTTCTTTTAAAAATCCCATTTTGTTGGGGGTATAGGGACATGTGGTTTGATGAATTATCCCTTGGGCAGAAAAATTTTTCGACAATGAGTGTTTACAAACTCAGTCCCATTGTCACTTCTAAAACTGTTCGATGGTATACCAGATAGGAGAAACCAAAAGAAGCCATAAAATCTCAATAGATGTGATCAGAAAAATGGTTACAGTATTGTGTTACAATGATCACCGAGAAAAGAGAAAAGTCAATATTTATATAAATAAGAAGAAGACAACCATATGCAATGACTAATACACCCTTACAACCAAACAGTCAATATGACTAACTGTAAGACATAACAAAACAAATATAATTTAACTACTACTATGCCACACTCAACAAGCTAAATTAGCATCACTACAGTCCAACATGCAGGTCAAACAGCACAATCGTCCAACAAGATGATCAAAAAAAAAAAAACCTCGCTCTTCGGCCTGTAGAGCTAACAAAGCCATTCGAATTGCTTGTCCGGAACATTCAATCGAGCCTCATTCGGCTTGATGGTACAGAAAAGGAAGTTCTCAGCTGGTATTGCTAACTTGGTAAGAGTGTTGAATAGTGTCGATTTCCCGACATTCGGAGCCCAACCTGAAAATCCGTTGAACTTAACAACAAAAACTACAGAAATATTAGAACACTAGAATTGACAATGCTTTTAGCTGTAGACTATTTCACGACACTTATAACACTTAGAAAAATTACAATTCCCGACAGAATAATTAGACATTTCAAAACAAAATAACAGGTTAACATCAGCGAGGAAACAAAAACGTAAGAATTATAAAACTTGCATTTCCAATTTAGAAGGGAGAAGAAAAACATCCAAGGATTGTTACTATGGGATATCTGAAATTGAACATGGATTCATATTAAACATAAAATTAAAAATATCCATAAAACTATTCAAGTATATTAATCAATTAAAAAAAATTCAATAATTACATGATGGAGCTAAGCCCTGGGCATTTATAATGGATGAGACTCTAGTTGTCGGCAAAATAATTTTTGCACTTCTTGCAGTACCGATTATCGATAATCTCGGCATGGTGCCGTCGATAATGATTGTCCAAGGACCAATCCGTATCGAACTGCCAAGATTCGAGCGGCATCCCCTCTTTTTTTGAAAATTTCTCATCACAAATTAAGCAACACAGTTCGATACGGATTGGTCCTTGGGCAATCATTATCGACGGCACCATGCCGAGATTATCGATAATCGTTACTGCAAGAAGTGCAAAAATTATTTTGCCGACAACTAGAGTCTCATCCATTATTAATGAACAGAGCTTAGCTCCATCATGTAATTATTGATTTTTTTTAATTGATTAATATACTTGAATAGTTTTATGGATATTTTCAATTTTATGTTAATATGAATCCATGTTCAATTTCAGATATCCCAATCTTGGATGCTTTTCTTCTCCCTTCTAAATTGGAAATGCAAGTTTTATACTTCTTATGTTTTTGTTTCCTTGCTGATGTTAACCAGTTATTTTGTTTTGAAATGCCTAATTATTCTGTCGGGAATTGTAATTTTTCTAAGTGTTTATAAGTGCCGTAAAGTAGTCTGCATCTAAAAGCATTGTTGATTCTAGTGTTCTAGTATTCTGTAGTTTTTGGTGTTAAGTTCAACGAATTTTCAGGTTGGCTGCCAAAAATGCCGGGAAGTCGACACTATTCAACACTCTTACCAAGTTAGTTATACCAGCTGAGAACTTCCTTTTATGTACCATCAAGCCGAATGAGGCTCGATTGAATGTTCCGGACGAGCAATTCGAATGTGGCTTTGTTAGCTCTACAAGCCGAAGAGCGAGGTTCTTTTTATTTTGTGATCTTCTTGTTGGGCGATTGTGCTGTTTGATCTGCATGTTGGACTATAGTGATGCTAATTTAGTTTGTTGAGTGTGGCATTAATAGTAGTTATATTATATTTGTTTTGTTATGTCTTACGGTTAGTCATATTGACTGTTTGGTTGTAAGGGTGTATTAGTCATTGCATATGGTTGTCTTCTTCTTCTTTATATAAATATTGACTTTTCTCTGTGATCGTTGTAACACAATACTGTAACCATTTTACTATTGATATTTTATGGTTTCTCCTATCTGGTATACCATCGAACAGTTTTAGGAGTGACAATGGGACTGAGTTTGTAAACACTCATTGTCGAAATTTTTTTCTGCCCAAGGGATAATTCATCAAATTCATCAAACCACATGTCCCTATACACTCCCAACAAAATGGGATTTTTGAAAGAAAACATAGACAATAGTTAAACCTTGCGAGAGCTTATATGTTTCAAGCCAACTTACCTTCAAAATTTTGGCCATATTCAATCCTTCATGTCACTTGTTAACAGATTACCTTCTTCTTCAGCCATTGATTGGAAAACACCAATTGACATTCTATATAAATATATTCTCCCGACTATAGTGCACTGAGGCAATAATGCTCACCTACCCACGGTGGGCACATGTTAATATGCCCACCGTTTATGTGGCATACACACATTGGTGATGTATTTTTTTGAACATATTAACATCTATTATGTGTGCATGCCACATAAGCGGTGGACATATTAACATGTGCCCACCGTGGGTAGGGGAGCATTACTCTGCACTGAGGTCCTTTGGTTGTTTGGCATTTGCCAGTAATATTGATCCTCAAAAAATAAAATTCACAACTACAACACGTACTTGTATTTTTCTTGGTTATGTAGCTGGTAAGAAAGGTTGTAGGTTGTACAATCTAGAGACTCATCAGATATTTTGCTCTAGAGATGCACAATTTATTGAACGCACATTCCCTTACCAAGATACCATAGACAGTCCTATGTCATCAACTCTACTCTCAGCTATACCTATAACTGATCCACATCCATATTCTCAAATTTCTCAAACATCTGCCAGCACTAGACCAAAAAGGAAACCTTCTTGGCATTCTGATTATGTACTATCTACTACCAGTACACCACTGTCTTCACATGTTGCAGTTGACCTTGTCTCAGGTAAACCATTACCAGCTTCTGTTCCTTATCACATTTCACCTGTCTTAAGTCGTTGCTATATGTCTTTTATGGCTGTGTCTCATATTCAAGAACCTAAGTCTTATACTCAAGAACATTAGGTAGAAGTTATGAATAAGAAATTGATGGCTCTAGAAAAAAATAACATATGCACATTAGTTCAGTTACCTACAGGGAAACAAGTCATAGGTTGTAAAGGGTTTATAAGGTGAAGGTAAAACCCAATGGTGAGGTAGAAAGACTCAAGGCTATTGAGTGTGGCATTAACAGTGGTTATAATTGTTTTGTTATGTTTTACAGTTAGTCGTATTGACCGTGTGGTTGTAAGGGTGTTTTAGTCATTTCATATGGTTGTCTTCTTCTTCATATAAATACTGTCTTTTCTCTTTTCTTTGACCATTGTAACACAATACTGTAACCATTTTTCTGATCAAATCTATCAAGATTTTATGGCTTCTTTTGGTTTCTCCTATCTGGTATACCATTGAACAATTTTAATAATAGGTGTCAGCATTTCTC